TCTAAAATTAATATATACATGGTTAATGATTAATTTTTTTTAAAATTAAATTTATAAAAACCGGAACAAACCGAAAAGAACCGTTATAAATTATAAACCGAACCGAACCGATATGATTTTTTTTTAAAAAACCGAAATGGAACAAAACCTTTATAAAATTTTAAACTAAAAACCGGAACGAACCGAACCGTTATACAAAACGGTTCGAAACCCTGGTTCTGGCTTTAGAGTTATGAGGTAATTATAAAATTATGGATAAAAAAAATATCGAATTATTCTAATGCATACAAAGTGTTGGGGAATATAATTAAAATAGAAAAATATCGATATTATTTTTTTAGATCATAGTTAATAAAATAGTTTTCGCTATTTTAATTGTTTTCTCCTTGATAGGATTTGGAACCATGAACGAAATTATTACAAATACCCAACTAAAAATTGTAAATGAGATAATTGCATATAATAGTTAAACATTTTGTAAGATGTTGTGTACGAATAACAAATCAAACATTTTCACGACTAATGTGCTAGTGCCACCGCGGAGAGCAATTAATTAATTTCTGGCTTAATGGAAAGCCATGCAAGGTAGAATATGATTAGGATGCATAATCGATGATCATAAATAATGATATTTGGATATCAATAATAATGTTTGTAACGTTATTTTTAAAAAGTAATTAGTTATAGTTACTTTAAAAAGCCTTGTTCATAACTAACACACCTCTGAAAAACTTTGATTAGGTTCCCGTTGGCCAATCCAAATCTACCTAAGATGTGGGGAGGGGGGGGGAGTAGTAGTACCTAGATATTTTTAAAGGGGGATAAGCTACCAGTAGAGTAAATTTATTGGAGGGTTTTCAATTAAATTTTTAGAAGAAATAGGGAAAATTATATTGCTGTAAATTTATTTAATACTCTTATTATATCTAATAAAATATATACTTATTGCTAAACATTGTCCAAATCTATATTGTCTATAATAATAGTTATTATTTTTTAAAAACTTATTTCTGGATAAAATTCAGCTATATTATAATTAAGGGTTATACATTCTGTCAGCAAACTCATATTTATGCCAAACAATATGCTATAATAATGCCTTGACTGTAAATAAAAGGTTTCTATTTTAATTCTTCCAAAAAATACTTTTATATTCACAATTTTATTTTTTTAATAGTATGCAGTCGAGTGTATTCAAAATTTAAGTTATCTTTTTAAAACCATTTTAATTAAAAACTTGTATGGGGCGGAAATTATTTTAAGGGGTAGGTATAGGTTTTTAATGGGTGGGGGGAGTTGTCCATAGTCAATATTCTGTCATGTAGAGACTTGCCAACCTTACGATTACAAATATAGCTATTTATTTTGAAGATGTTTATCAGTGTTGATCAGGGCCGTAGCCAGGAATTTTCACTTAGGGGGGCCAAATGCTTACTGGGAGGGGCACTATTTTTTTAAAATCAAACAAATAATTGCGCATTCATATAAATTTTTTCCCATTTTTATTAAAAATTTAATAACAAAATAATACTATAATATGAATATACAAAACAAAATAATACTATAATATGCATACACAAAACAAAATATTATTATAATAGAATACGGCGATTTTTATTTTTAAATTTTAATATAAATGAACTAAAAGATAAATTCTGCTTTATTCTTTTTTCATACGCCATTAATACTAAATTTTGTTTACGTTTATCCTTCATAGACTCTCTACTGCTCGATAAAACTCTCTTTAATGTAGAGAACGAGGCCTCACAAGAAGCCGTTTATTGCTGCTGAGTAGCATTTATATAATTCTTTAAATGCATGATTATATTTTTTTTTATACATAATATGTAAGATATTATCAAAATTATGGTTTTCTTTAGCTTCCGAAGCTAGCAATCCTTTTGCTATCTTCATTTCATGATGCAGTGTTTCCAATGGGGCCATTTTATCTGATAAAAAATAATCAGGGTCAAGGGGGGGGGGGCAATGTTTTAAAAGATGAAAAAAGATTAAAATCATCTTCTGTAAATCGGTCTAATCAGTTTCTGAAATTTCTGATGTAGTATTACTAGTAGTTTGTAGAGGTGATGTTGCTTGTTTAACTTTAACTTAAAATAAGAGTTAATAACTGATTGTTTCTTCATAATTTTAAAATAAACGCTGTTAAATAAAATAACTGGTTATATATTATAATATAAATGTGATACCTATAGAGAATGTTATACACAACAAAAACAAATGAAAAAAAAATGAATGAATGATAATTTAATATTGGGTAAAAATAAAAATAAAACTGGATAGAAAAAAATTTACAAAGTAGACATGTTTGTAGAATAAATATTCAAAATTTATTTTAAAAATATAAAAATAATCAATTCTAAATAGACATGTATAAAAATAATCAATTCTAAAAAAAAATTTCAAATTTTGGGGGGCCAGAAAAATTATTGGGGGCCACTTTTGGGGGCCAAAGATTTTTCTGGGGGCCAGGTTTGGGGGCCAAAAATTCCCCGTGGCTACTGCCCTGGTGTTGATTAATTGTATATTATATTATTCTGTTTGGAAGATAATATAGGGATTTTAAGATAGTAGTAGATAAGAATTAAAGATATTTATTTAGATGGGAATAAAATAATGATCTTTGTCACAATTTATAAGTATACTATATATATATATAAATAAATATAAATATCTTTATAAATATAAATTTTAATATAAATAAAAATATAAATATTAATATAAATATAAATATAAATATAAATATAAATACAAATATAAATATAAATATAAATATAAATATAAATATAAATATAAATATAAATATAAATATAAATATAAATATAAATATAAATATAAATATAAATATAAATATAAATATAAATATAAATATAAATATAAATATAAATATAAATATAAATATAAATATAAATATAAATATAAATATAAATATAAATATAAATATACATATAAATATAAATATAAATATACATATAAATATAAATATAAATATAAAAATATAAATATAAATATAAATATCTTTATAAATATAAATTTTAATATAAATAAAAATATAAATATTAATATAAATATAAATATAAATATCTTTATAAATATAAATTTTAATATAAATAAAAATATTAATATAAATATAAATATAAATATAAATATAAATATAAATATCTTTATAAATATAAATTTTAATATAAATAAAAATATAAATATAAATATAAATATACATATAAATATAAATATAAATATAAATATAAATATAAATATAAATATAAATATAAATATAAATATAAATATAAATATAAATATAAATATAAATATAAATATAAATAAAATAAAATATAAATATAAATATACATATAAATATAAATATAAATATAAATATAAATATAAATATAAATACAAATATAAATACAAATATAAATACAAATATAAATATAAATATAAATATAAATATACATATAAATATACATATAAATATAAATATAAATATAAATTTTAATATAAATAAAAAAATAAATATAAATATTAATATAAATATAAATATACATATAAATATAAATATAAATATAAATATAAATATAAATATAAATATAAATATAAATATAAATATAAATATAAATACAAATATAAATATAAATATAAATATACATATAAATATACATATAAATATACATATAAATATACATATAAATATACATATAAATATAAATATAAATTTTAATATAAATAAAAAAATAAATATAAATATTAATATAAATATTAATATAAATATAAATATAAATATAAATATAAATATAAATATACATATAAATATAAATATAAATATAAATATAAATATAGATATTAGGAAAGTTAATTAAATATAAAAAACATTGAATATTATTTCAACATTAAAATAAATTATATTAAATCAATTTAGTGTATATTATTATTTAACAAAAAGAAAGTTAATATATAAATTTTCCATTATTCTAACTTATAGAGGCAAAACAATATACAAAATGATAAATATATGATATTACTATAGAAAGTAAAAAAAAATTAAGTTATTAGCAGAATAAGAAAAACTGAGGATATAGAAAACTAAATATATGAAATTATTTATTTTTCAATCAGTTTTGCAAATTGAAATTATAAAAAGACTCACACTTTTGCGAAGTAAGCCAATCAGTTGAAAACACTAAACTAATACCAAGCCTAAGCTTTTAGTACATTTTAATATATTAATTTGATATCTGGCCAGAATGGATAATATAAAAGTTATAAATAATAGTTTGTTGTTATTTAATGTATAACTTTTAAGAAAATAGCTACAGGAAGATAATGGAATAAGATAAATAGAAGTTTTAATATCATGCCATGTGAAGTCACCAAAACTTCAGGAATTTAACTCTGAAACAAACTTAATCCATATTAAGTATATTTTAGTTAAACAGCCGGATTGATAGATAGTTTAAAGAAAAACTTATTATAGAAAAAATAAGAAAATAGCTGCCTATGATCGGCATCATCATACTAGAACAAAAATTATAGAAGCACTAAATATCTGTATGCGTTAATGTGTAATGCCTGTAGTATTTATTAATTCGTTCATTAATTTTTCGAGTCAAGAAACAACAGTTATAAACAAAATTTTCCTTTTATTATTTTACTATAAAAATTTATTTATCCTTATAATAACCAATATTTTAGAATTGATCCATAAATAATAGTATAAACATTTAAATTGTAAGAATAAAATTCGGCATATACTTCTAAAAATGTTTATATAAACATTTAATAATATATAAAAATTTTACCAAAATTTTAAAAAATTTAGGAAAGAAATTTTAAATTTAAATATTTATTTTATCTACATTAAATTTAATATTTGGCAATATCTTTCGTGATTTAATGTTGATAATTAGTTTATTCTAAAATGATTATAAATATTTACAACTAACTCCTGATATTTTTTAATTACTTTCTTATTTTTAATATCACATGAATATCACTTATCCAATACCACGTGATATATTTTAAAATTTTCTTTTTAACATTCACGATGGGAGATTTTAAAAAAGAATATATTCGCCTTAACCATGAACAAAAGGAAGAATTATCTCATGTCCTAAAAACGGTTAGAAAATTATATTAAATTTACTAAATTTTTAAGCATGGATTAACTGGAATTTTTATAATATAGTCTACATTAATTTTTTTTAAAGATATTAAAATATTAACTGAAATTTTCTACAAACGATAATATTAATAATGTTATTTTTGCATTACAATATTAATGTTATATGTATCAATATTAATGCTATCAATTATTTATGTATATCTTAATCTATAATAAAATATTTTAAATTAATTAAAAGGGTGTAATAAATATTCCCAAAGTTCCTAAAAATTGGATGTTCATATATTTCTTAGTATAAAAATTGCTATGATAAATTCCCTTTTAGATATATTTTTATAAAAATGTTTGTATAACTTAATAAGTATTCTTTAATATAAATTATAAAAATATCAAAAGCAAAGTTATGAGTAATGATAAATATTAATATTTTCTTATACATTATTCTTGATAGTTTATATTTTTGCATAAGTAATTATTATCTGGCACTATATTAATTTTTTAGATTTAAATTGGAGATTCACAGATACCAATACTTGTAAGTGGGCATGACTTAAATACACACCCCCAAAAACTATGCGCCCCCTATCAAAGAAGCTTAATTTAAATTATATTATTGCAGAATCGTATTTAGCTTCATAAGATGAGTTAGAAAATGTTTTTTTAACATAATAAAAAATTTTTAAAAAATTATTTTTCTACATGACTAAACTATGCGCTCCCGATCAAAGTAGCTTAATATATAAAAAATAAATGCAGAATCATATATAACTTATTAAAAGGAATCAAAAAATGTTAGTACTAAGTTTATAAATTATTTATAACTTATTGAGATTTTGAAAATTTACTTAATTTCTTCTTTTTTGACTAAATTTTTTTAAAATTTTTACTATGTTGCCATTTTTTTAAAATAAAAAAAAACATTTTCTAATTCATCTTATGAAACTAAATAAGATTCTGTATTAATATAATTTAAATTAAGCTTCTTTGATAGGCGGCACGTAGTTTTGGGGGGGGTGTATTTTAGTCATGCCCCTTGTAATTGGTTATAGGGCAATACCTTAAATTTTATAAATATACTATAAAAATAATATACCTTCATTCATTTAGAAGAATTTAGTCAAGATAATGCTATAAATTTATAAAAAGATATTAATCTGGGACTTTCCATGTCAAATCATTCACAATTTGAATGATCCCTTTTGATTTTTACAAAATAATGGTTATGAATTAACATAACTTCATTTGCAAAATTTTTCAGAGATTGATGAGTATTCATTTCCATTTAATTAAGGTTTGATTATATAAACTCCATGCTTATAAATAATAAATTTAAATCATTAGCTAAATTATTTGTCAAGATATTTAAAATTAAACAGAATGCTTAAAAGGTTCCCTTATATCAAGGAAGGTAAGCCAAGTTAGAAATTATAATTTAATATTTTTATTAGTTAAAGTATATTATAATCGTACAAATTATTTTAAAAAATCAAAGGGGATCTGGTTGGAATCTTCAGTGGATTTGGTATGAATTTTAACATACTCTATTATTTTTGGCGTTCAGCTGATATCATTAGTATTGGTTTGGTTAGATGCTAAAAATTTGATATAGATGCTTCTACAAATTATTTTATAATTTTTCTTTAGATCTAAAACCCTCACTTAACTTTTCTTTACATAAATTTTTTATTGATTATTTTTTGAAATTTTTTTTTTAATAAAAATTTGTTCAAATATTTTTATTATGACTCATATATAAAATATAAAAAAAGAAAAAAAATACTTATGAAATACAATTATATAATTTCAATTATTTAGTTATTTTTAACTAAATTAAATACAAACAAAAGCATTAATTGGACACAGACACATGTTTTCCAAAAAAAATGGAACTTGCCAAATATGCAAATTTTTTATTTTTTTGGGGTAATGATGTGTAGCATTAAACGTTATTGATTTTTATTTATTTTATTGAAATATTAGATAGCGTTATACTTTTATCCTTATGTGCAAAAAAAATTGACGCTTTTGAGTTGTGTGTCTGTGGTCTAGTCGGTTCAGTGTCTATATCACAATCCGATAGTTCTGGACTCGAATCCAGTAAGGATTATGCTTTTTTTCTAAAGTCAACTATGGAGCTCCATCCTTAAAAGGACTATATAATAGATCGAACTCGACCAGATGATTTCATTAATACATACTATAATGTATATGCATCTTATTGCATTTTAAATTTTGGTCCTTGTTTAGCAAGTGGGCTAACGTCATATATAATAAGCCCCCCCCCCCCCTTTTTTAAGGAAATAACGCCAAAATGTTTTTATTTACTCAATTTAAATTTAAGTCTAAAAACAGTAAATAATATATTTTATATTATGTCCCAAAAAAAAAATTTCAATAAAAAAAATAGCAAAGATATTTTTTTAATGGAAAAATCGATTTTTTTTTCGCTTTGCTGGCCCGAACCCTATAAATAAAAAAAACATGGTGTCCAATAGTCATGTTAAAAAATGCGATTTGCCAAAATAATATTATGTTAGCTTGGAGAATTTGATCATAGATGGCAGAAAGGTTTGGACATTTATTTGCTAACTCTCTAGGCTACATAATATTGATTAGGCTAAAATACTATTCAGGCCGTTTTTAAAAATCGACTCAATCGGGTTTTTTAACAACGCAACTGCCCAAAATGATTACTTTCTCTATTTTATCCTATTTTGATTTTATTTCTTTTGGTTACTCTCTTAATAATTTTATTGTAAATCCATTCATTTTGGCCTACTGAGAAACTGTTAAACCTAATATTTAAACTTCGTTTTTTTTAGCTCAAAGCAATCCTCTAGTGTTATTAAACGGCTTGATTTGAGCCGATTTTAAAAATGGGCAAACTTAATATTTTATTCGGAAGAATATTACGCAGGACTGAAGATTTTGCTCATAGATGGCACAAAGGTTTCGACTAGAGATCTGCAAAAGTAGGCCCGTAAGAAAATTCGGGCCGGGTCGGGTTTTAAATTTTTTTTAAATATATCTAAATTTATCAATTTTATGTTTATGTAAAATAAAAATGTCATTTTATTTATAGAAAATAAACGCCATATGACATATATCGTTTATTTTGAGTAATTACAAGAATTAATTTCTATATTTAAATAAATTAGGGACGGGCAAAACTTTATAAAAAAAATTTCGGGCCGGGCCGGGCTTGAAAATTAAGCCCGATGCAGATCACTAGTTTGGACATCTGTTAGCGAGATTTCGAGGATTAGGCAATTTTTTTCTGGCTAAAATTATTGAGTTAATTATTTTTAAAAATCGGCTTAAATCGAGGCCATTTAACAACATTAATCACCTTAGCCTTGGCAATTTATTTCGAAACAGCTCTTTTACCTATTCCCAAACTGTTTTTTTTTACCAAAAGGATTAATAAATGGAATGCAACACATTCCTAAACGATGAAAAATATATTTACCCCCCTCCCCTCCCCCTTCTTTTAAAATCTTATTAATAGATTTATTTGATGCAAAAAATTTTATAAATATAAATTTGATTTTCTAAAAGATTATATTTTTTAAAAAATAATTGTAATAATATCGGTTTCTCGCGGTTTGTATGATTAGAGAATTCTTTGTTCAAATTTGTAAAAAAAAAGGATAAAATTATTATTTACTAAATTTAACTTAAATTTTTTTTTTTATTAAATCCAAAAATCTCTTTTAAAAAAATAATTGTTTTAAAACTTAGGAAGTTTTAAAATTTGAATGAAATTATATGTTAAATTTTCTGGAATTATACTTATAGCATGTTTATTTTTATATTAGAAAAAAGCCTATATATTTTTTTGTAAGTTTCCAAAGTTTTCCTATCGTTTTTTTAATTTTGAACTTAGCCTTAAAAAAGGATTGTTTAAATCGGCTGGTATGGGGCTGCTACAATGCAGTTTTCGCGCTTCTTTCCGGTTTTAAAAGAATATTTTTATATGACCGATTTAAATATCCGGTCAGGTCCGTTTTATTATTTATCATAAATGGATCTGACCTGAATCCAATTATTTATTTTTTTCTAAGAAAGCGGAAATATTGTATATAAATCCTTAAGGGAAAGAATATTTATAAAGGCATTTATAACAAAATAATTTAAATTTTTACTGAGGTCCTGCTCGACCCGAAGAAGGACTCTGGGTAATGATATGTGCTGTCAGTCATCATTTTATTAAAATGCTGTGTCCCATTTTTATTTAACTATATATTAACGTAATTATGGGGTCACTTCCGGTATACGTCATACCCTGAGGCAAACATGTAGATTGGCTTCGAAAAAAACCGATCCTATCTTTCGAACTAGTCGAGTTTAAAAAGCGATTCCCCAATCTAGACCTATAACTAGAAAACAATTTTTTTTAAAATATATTATAATGATAATTTATAACGTTGTCTAGTATTTTAATAAAAAAATACAAAAAATAAGTCAATAATGTCGTTCAACGTTATACATCATTACCTGCAATAAATATATCGCATAATGTATTGTGCTTTAAAAAAAAATTTACCACCTTAAAAGTTATCAGCCCCTTTGGGGACAAGAAAAAAAATTTTGTATCGTGAGTCATATGAATCTCGTTTATTTTAGCATCAAATTCTAATCTCCCAAGGTTCCAAATTTAAAAATAAAATGAAAAAGTTTTTTTGGTGTATCATTTTTTTTTCGTGTGCAATTTCTATACGATTTTTTTAAATTTTATTTTGTGTTGAAAATTTTGAAATAATATTCTTAATTCGAACGGATTAGCTAAACTCACCTCAATTTTTAATTCAAATTTTTTTATATACAAAAAAAGAAAGATAATATTATGACAAATTAATGGAATTTATTGATACAATTCATTTCATTTTTATTCATTAAGCTGTTTGACATAATTTATTTTTGATTTTCATTTCGATATCAAGATTAAAGAAATTTTTTATAGGCATTTTACACAATCATTTTATGTATATATATAA